CAGTCAAGGGGTGGAGAAGAGAACATGAAATTGTAATGTTTCAAAAAGAGTTATTTAAAAAAAAAAAAAAAGGTTACGTGTCTATTTGAATGTACTATGGATATTGAATTTTTCTCCTACCTAGTGTTGTAAAACAGATCTGAATGTATGATAGAAATATTGGGCATTACAGATTATAGAGAGTGTGTAACTCTACCTTCAGCTAATATCTAAAAGGATATGTTTTACCCAAAGAAAAACAGGCTGTTGGTTTGAATGTAGTAGCCCTGTGTATACCTGAGCTCCATCCTGAACCCTTCAGGAGTCAGGAAATTTGTATTTGAAAAGACATGCAGAATCACCTAGAACTGCGGAGAGAACAAGAGACTTGCATTGGAAGGAAGGACCTGCAGGAAAAAGTCAGTGCCCATCAGAAGGAATCACCTTCCAAGACCGGAAATTAAAGGGAGATGGCGAGTAGACAGCTTGGTATGCTTGGCTGTGGTGATCATCTGGGTCCACTCATGAGATGAAGTACAGCAATGAAGAGACGGGATGAGCTTGGACATGTTCCACTGGCACTTGCTGACCTAGCCCATGGGGGCTAGAGATGAGAGAGGAAGGGCTGGCTGGTCAGAAATGAAGGGGGTTGTGTGGACTCCTGAGTTTATGGGTGAAGCTGTTCACCTAGCCCAAGGGGGCTAGGGATAAGACAGAGAGAAGGGGCTTCCCATTGTGACCTAGCTTGGATGGCTAGGAACGAGCTGACCAGAACCCAGCCTAATGAAGAAAAAGATGTTTGACACTGTGAGCTGGTGTAAATTGCTGTAAATTTGATGGCTTGCTGTGGACTGGACTTTGCTTATGGATACAGATGCTTAAAATTCCAACTGGAACGGAAGATTCTTCGAGACCAAGGAACATGCTCATCTCCTCAGAGTACTAGTTCCACAGGGACAGGCAATTTAAATATTGGCTATCTAAAATGGAGGGACATAAAGGCATGAAGTGGCTGGCTTATATGCTTTTGTAGGTGTGCTTACACTCAAAATGAGGAGACAAGGGAGGATCCCCACTGAATAGATTCCTGTTTTCCTGATGGGTCTGGGAAGAGAGAGTTGGGAAACGCTGATAGGATTATATGATTCATTTGTGAGTGTTGATTGTTAACAGGGTTAATTGTGATTGTAAAAACTGTAACTGTAGAACCTGTAAGTGTGAAAGAGTGGACTAAGGGGGAGGCACTGCTGGACTGGAGCACAGCGGCTGAATCTGAAGTCCCTTAAAGGTTTTGCTATGCTGATACCTCATGGGGCTCGGAGGAAGGGAGTCATCTTCTCTCCGTTAAATTTTTATCAGACACCAGGAAGTGTGAAGCCGAGATTATTTTTGGAGAACATAACCAGATCAGATGGACAGCTGCAGCAGGCCTGAATGGCTGGTACCTGAGTAATCTCACCCTGAGGAATCTTTGCCCTTATTGAAGGTCTAATTGTTAATGAAGTAGAGAGCATTGTGGGAGGGATGGCTGATGTCAGAAATGGTAAAGACAGTGCAAAGAGGAGGCATGTCTGATCTATGCCTCATAGGAACCAGCTTTGGGCTGCTGATCTTGGTCCTCCTTCCCCTTTGTGAAGTTACAGGAGGTCAGACACTGCCCCCACGCCATTTTTACAGTCCATTACTATGCAATTTCAGTAATTTGTGGTCTACCGATAGGACTGGTCGGTTTGTGGTCTAGCTAGGACGGCCATGCCTTGTAACGGAATATAAAGGCCAATCCCAGAGGTTGAGGGGGACCTCACTACCATCAAGAAGAATCTGGAGCACAGTATATCCTTTGGACCCAGAGTCCCTGTGCTGAGAATCTCCTAGACCAAGAGACAGAGGCAAATGGGAAAGAGGAAACCTAAAAGAGTTGTAATATGGGTCGAGATGCAATAGAAGTGAAGATGGCATGAGACAGTGTGAGATGGTGGCAGGAACCAGGCTACAGGCGTGTGGTTGCAGTAGCGGGCTTGTCAGCCCCTGGAAGAAAAGAGCTCAGCATTTTTGGGCAGAAGTTTGCTGGCAGAGCTAAAGAGCTGTAACACTTGTACGAGCAGCACAGAGGCCTAGGTGGACTGTTGGCTGGTATGGCCAAGAGAAGGGTGGCCTGCTTGCGTGTACAGCCTAGAGCAGCTGAGAGACCTGTCCTAACTGATGAACTGCATACTCTCTACCCAGTTATTCCTGTTACTTCCAAGTTGATAATGATCCCAAGTTGTAATCTCCTTCTTCCACAATAAACCATGTAACTGTGAGTATGACCTATCAGTTCTGTGTGGCCACTGCAACGAATTATCAGAAGTAGAGTGCCGTAGGGGGGACGGCTGGTGTGAGAAATAGTGAAAAAGTCAGAGTGGTGGTATGTCTGACCTCCACCTCACAGGAATCAGCTTTGTGTTGATTCTGATTTTCATCCCTCTCCTGAATGTCGATAGGCCCTGACGCTAGATTATACACCTAGAACCAACTCTGTCAGGCTCTTGTAACATTTTCTATCTTACGATTCTAGGACTAAATGAATGATTTCTTTTATAAGGATTAGCACAAAGTTGGTTAATATGAGGCGGACATTAAAGACGTCCCAAATGTGCAACTTTTTCAAGCTGTTGTACCACTCCATTATCTCTAACATCAACTATTCCTCCCCTGCTCAGTACTCTCCCTCCTGTCTTTGAGTTCTGTGATTTGCTGCAATGTCTCCACAAACTCACGAACCGTATCAAGGAAATGGCTCACGCAGTTGTGGAGGCTGGCAAGTCCCAAATCCATCATCTGTAGGCTTCTCCCGATGCACATGGCCGCCGGGGCCGCCAAACCTAAATCAGTAGGACAGACAACAGGATGCTAGCTCAGAAGGCTACGAAAACTAGTGAACTGGCAGGTCAGATGGCAGGCCACTGGCTCAAGTTCCAAGAACCAGAGGTCAGACAACAGCAAAGCGGATGCAGAATCCTAATGCAGAGAGAGAGAGAGCCCCAACAGAGTACCCACATATATACATTGGATGCAGGCCACACCCCAGGGAAGCGAGTGACTTCAGTAAGTTTAGGACTTGAGTCACACCGTCTTGTAAGGCTGTAACTCAAGATCCACCCCACAATAATCCTTTCTTACTAACATATACAGATTAGGACTTACAACACATAAAAAGGAGTATAATTACATCAGATCACAAAACAGAGGACACCCATACAAAACTAGGAGTCATGGCCTAGCCAAGATGACACACAACCCCAACCATCACAGGTTCCGTATACTTTATTTGCATAGTCTCAACAAATCACTGTGTGTGAGCCACAAAGACTACGGCTAGAAGAGCCATATTAAGTAACTCATTGCACCGCAGGGACATGGTGACCGCTCTACTCATCACGTTCAAGAGGTACTTCTACACATAGCATACTGATCAAAGTGTTCTCCTCTAAGAATTTTCTGTGACCTGTTAACCCCCCTCTTTGAAGAAGTCCACCTCAAACTTCCCATTACTAAAGAGTATGTTGTTACAGCAGAAGAAGAAGGGTGACATTTCAGACACCAGGAATGTGCGTTTAAAGAGCAAGTTTCAGGAAGAATCATTCAACCTTAGGAGAATACAAATCCAAGAAGAGCCAAGGTTTTTCAGCATTTCCAGACAATGTAGAGAGCGTGAAGAAGTGGAGAGATACAAGATATGGGAGTAAAGTAAGGATGTCAGAACTGGTGGGGTCCTTGAGAAGGGGCTGTATGCTCTGCCCATATTCTCAAACTGAGAATATGAAATAAAGAGGTAATGTTCTTATGTAGGACCAGGGTAGGAAAAGAGGATCTCTCTGTCTACTGTCTTTATAGTACTGCTGAGTAACAATCTCAGAACTTCCCAATTCTCCTGCTATACATACTCCTGAAGTATAGAGAGGCAGGAGTCAAGAAATGTCTGAGGGGCCTGAACACTCAGAGGGGTCTGGTGAAAGTCCTGTGCAATTTCCTGGGGCCTCACGGGAAAAGGAAGAGACAGCAATGCTTTGCCATCTCCTGAGAGGGTCTCTAATGAGCACCGAATCTGGATAGATGCTTCAGGACGAAGGAGGCCTCAGCTTATGACCTATATGAACTGAGAACTGAGGATCACGTGAAACCAAGTACAGAAGGAGAAACCAACAGGGCAAGAACACCCCTTTGAAACAGCCCTCCTCGTCCCTATCAAACTCATGGCACCAAAGATGTCATAGTGACCAGATAATAGCATGTTGCAGGTCATAATAAAGACTTTGCCTTTGTCTCTGCTTGAGCTGCAGCACCACTGGCAGATGAACTTTTACACATCTTAAGAGAGGAATATGTGGGGTGTATGGGAGAGTAGGGAAGAAAAATTTTCCTTTGTGAGCTCACAAGAAATAAACTTGTGTTTTCCTATAGGGTCGCCATAAGTCAGAACTGACTCGACAGCAACAGGCTTGGTTTGGTTTTGGTTTACTTTTGGGGGAAGAGTTTCCCCAAAACATACTTGATAGTGTGGTTTCTTTTCTAACCATCTGATCTCTTATCTATTGTTATGGATTGTGTCCCCCCAAAATTACATGTTTATAAACCCTTACCTTTATACCTGTGGATATATTCCCATTGGGGAATATGGATTTCTTTGTTAGCTTAATGAGGTCACGTCAGTGTGTCTTAAACCGGTCCCTTTTTGAGATATAAATAAACATATCAGGCACAGAAGAAAGCTGGAACGAACAGAGGAGAAGATACACACCAGGTGAAGATCACCAAGGCTCCGAGGAACAGAAGCTGAAGAAACAACGACCTTCACCTAGAGCCGACAGAGACAGAAAGCCTTCTTTTACAGCCAGTGCCCTGAATCTGAACTTCTAGCATCCTAAGCTGTGTGAAAATATATTTCTGCTTGTTAGAGCCACCCACTAGTGGCATTTCTGTTATAGTAGCTCTAAGAAACTAAGACACCTATGTTCACATCTTGATACATTTCCACATACCTGGGTTTTTTGCTAGTTTCGTCTCCTTCTCCACAGTCCAGGGCTCTGTCCCTTTCTTCAAAATGGAGATAATATTTATCTCAGAAGGAGAGATTCCTTTTTATCAGAAAAAAAAAAAAAGCTGTAGCTTTTTTTGCAGAATACAATCCAAGCCATTTGTTCAGCTTAGAACGTCACAGATGTCTCTAGAAAAGTATTTCAAATGTTCATCTATTGACTGCCTACTTTGGAATACTTAGGGAATGTCTTAAGTATGTAGATATCTAGCTCTCTTCCAAGAACTACTCAATCAAAAGCACAGAAGTAAAGCCAGACAACTGGATACATTAAAAGTTGGTCATAAGGTTTTGTGCACACTTAAGGCATGGAACACAGCAGGGACCTAGAGTGAACTGGGCAGATCATCTGAATAAAAGCGAAAGCTAAAATTCAGATGCCGAATTCTGAACCAACTTCCATCTCTGCTGTAAGAACAGAGATTTCTAAGTTCATCCATCAGAGCAGGGATTTCTAAGAGACTCACAGGGAAAATGCAAAAATACACAAGGGCAGATTCCACATCTGGAGGGAAGTTATGCTTACCAAGGGAGACGAGGTTCCTGTAGTTCTCCAACATCACATCTCTGTACAAAGTCCTCTGAGCAGGGTCCAGATAATCCCACTCCTCCTGAGAAAATTCTATGGCCACATCCCTGAATGTCAACAATCTCTGTAAAAAAAAAAATCAAAACAAAACACATCTCACAAGTGGAAAAGGGAGAGTTCTTATTTTCACACAAATGATACAAGGAGAAAGGTATACAAGCAAGTCATCTGATGTGAGAGGTTTGACAGATTCATGTAATACTGGGCAAGTTATATGTCCCAAATTGTGTTTTATTATACTTTTCCATCACCAGATATGAAATCCATTGCATTACTGGGGATTTAATTTTGGTGGACAAATAAAATAAGCGAATGAAAAGAATTCCCAGAGTCATCTATGTATTTATTAAGTGCTAGATGTTATGTTCTGCAGCATCTTGCCAGAATCTTTCAAAACACCAATGCATCACTGAGGTGCAATGAGTTACTTAGTATGGGCTTCTAGCCACAGTCTTTGTGACTCACATACAGTGACTCAGTGAGACTATGCAAATGAGGGGTATGGAACCTGTGGGGGTTGGGGTTATGTGTCGGCTTGGCTAGGCCACGACTCTCAGTATTGTGTGGCTGTCCTCCATTTTATGGTCTGATGTAATTATCCTTCATTTTGTGTGTTGTAAATCCTAATCTCTGTACGTTGGTGAGGAAAGATTAGAGTCGGGTGGGTTTTGAGTCACAGCCTTACAGGAAGGTGTGACTCAAGTCCCACCCTTACTCGCCACGCCCTTCCCTGGGGTGTGGACTGCATTCAGTGGATATATATGGGAGCTCTGGCGGGTCTCCTTCTCAGCATCTGGATCCTGCTTCCAGTTCATCACCGTCTGACCCTGGTTCTTGGGACTTCAGCCAGCAGCCTGCCATCTGACCTGCTGATTCTGGGATTTGCCACCTGCCACAGCCCTATGGACCAGTGGCCTATCATCTGACCTGAATGGTCAAGCTTCTGCAGCCTTGTGAGCTAGCAGCCTGTGGTCTGACCTGCTGGTTTGGGTTTGTTAGCCCCCGTAGCCACACAGGTCGGGAGAAGCCTATGCCTGACCCATGGATTTGGGACTTGCTAGCCTCCTCAACTGCGTGAGCCATCTCCTTGATATGATACATGAGTTCTGTGAGATGTTGCAGTGAATTACAGAACCCAAAGACAGGAGGGAGAAGACTGAGGGGAGGAGGACTAGCTGATATTACAGATGATGGAGTGATACAGCAATTTGGAAAAGTTGGACATTTGGGACGTCTTTAACCTCTACCTCATAGGAGCTAGCTTTTGCTGATCCTTATAAAAAAAAATTACTCATTTAATCATCCTACACACAACTATCACTCTTCAAGTTGCCCAACCTGGAGGATCCCTCAGACATCTGGAAAGAAGTTGGGGTACTCAGAAGTAACCCTGTGACATTCTTTATAACAGAGAAAAATTGTAAACCACCCATATGTGTTGATTATAAGAATGTTCTAATGAGGATCTAAAAGAGCAAGCTATCTCCACATTTATTAACATGAAACAACTCCAAGACATTTGGCATGTAAATTTTCAAAAGCTGAAGAATCAAATATCACAAAAAATTCACTGAAGAATTTCTTCTAAAATCACATCTTTTACGGAGAAGTACACTGAGTCTTGCCACAAAACTGACAAGACTGGTTAATGATGGAGGTGGTGAGTGATGCAGGAGGATATAAGAGGGTAGAGAAGGTTTACATTTTACTCCCTGTCAGCGTTATTGTTTCTAGCTCTACCACAAAATAAATATGTCCATCATATACGTTTTAAAGAAAAGAAACAAAATATTTAATAACAAAGGTGGAACCAGATTTGACTCCACCCCCACCAATAACAAAGTTCTGTTCCTACCTCTCGGCTAAATTAAAACCATTTGTATCGAAAACCGTTGTTTGTCCCTAACAAATACCACAATCTGCAAGGGATGGATGTAGAGTTTACATTAGCTTTACCAAAAAAATTTGGTTTTTATCCAAGATTCTTGAGAGAGAACCTCTAAAATCTTGGGTTTTCACCAATCTAGAGAGTCTTTGGGGTCTCCAGACTTATCTAACAGGTTATTCTAATGAGGCAACTGCTGGGTAGGGGCTGACCAGGATGGACTCATTTTATGATATCAAACTTATGATACTGACCCACCTTGGGGGAGAGGGACTGGATTTTGAGTTATGTAATGAGACTCTCAAGAAAAGCTCTAGATACTGAAGCCGTACGGGCTCCCTGGTTGGTGAAAGACACTGATGCATGTAGGAGGGTAGCAAGTCCTTTGAGATTTGGAAACTCTGAATTGGGAACTCTTCCAGACCTCACCCTAGCAGTCTCTTCACTTATATCTTTTTTGCTATAATAAAACTGTAATCTTAAGGATAGAACTTTCCATGAGTTGTGAGTCATTCTAGCAAATTATCGAACCCAAGGGAGTAGTAGGCGCCAATAGATCAGAAGTGAGGGGAGCTGGGACCCTGAGGTTATAGCTGATATCCTGAGGGTATAGAGCAAACCTTCAATTTGAAGCTAGCAGGTCAGAAGTGAGGGTGCACGGAGGGGTCCCCGAGAGTGCAGCTGGAATCTGAAGTTTTGGGCAGACTTGGCAGTCTGAAGGACTGGGTCCTTAACTTGTGAGATCTGGCCTCACTCCAGGTGGTTAGAGTCACAGGAATAAGTGCTACATGTGCAGCTGATGTCAGAAAAGACATGAAACAGAGGGGAACAGAATTGATAATAGAGTCATTTGAATTGATCAATACACTTGGTAGAGAAGTGAGAACTGGGATTTGATTTTTCCTCAGCTGTCTTGTGAATGGTTTAAAGAAACTCCTACTGTTAGACAGTTACGTTGATCCCATATTTAAAAACTGATTACAGAATAAAGCATCTTCTATCACTGATGTCTGTTACTGAATCCTGTATCACTGACGTCTGTTATTGAACTCTCAATACCAAATCAATTAATATTTTGGAACCAGTAATACAGATTCACTTGTTTAGCTCTGAATGGATTAGTAATCGGGCAGAAAAGATCTGCAATTATAAGTCTTCTTTTCCAGAATTTTCAGCTGTTCCCGCAGATTAACATGGCACATAAATGTGCCGTTGCTTTAATGTTGTTCCACAGAGAAATGATAGGGCATCCAGATGTGGCCCCTAAACTCTCCCTGCTGCCCCCATCACTGCCCCCACAGGGCCCATTCCCTGTCTCCCACTCAGGCCTGGCGTGAAGTCCTTCACATGGTGTTCCCCACATGGAGCCTCTTCACAAGTCCCACGTCACTGGGATGGAATTTGTGTGGAGGTTAGAGGGGACTGAGAGAAGGCCCTGGGTGAGTGTGAGCCAACATGTCAGACAGGACACATCAGAGTCAGGTAAGTTGAGCAAATTCTCAGGACAGCATTTCAGGAAGGAGAGGACAGAGCCACTAGCTGGGAATATGACTGTTACCTGGGACAGAGTCATTCTGAACTCTTTATCTTTTCTTTCTGCGAACTTCTTTCTCAGGCAAGTTCAGTCTTGAGAAGTCAAACCTGAATGTAAAAATTACGCTGTTAAATGCTCAAAATGAACACACCCCTTTCCTGTGCCAGAACCACACACAAGGGGAGGACCTCACCATGGGGACAGACAGTTCTTGTTGACCACTGCCCCAGGTGGTACTCAGGGACAATATACTCCTACATGGAGAACAACAGTTGAGTTCTACACCTTCCTCTCCTGGTGAAGTGCACACACACTGCTTCAGCCCAAGAAATGGAGGACCAAGAGCCTTGGTGCTCAAAGCTGGATAGATTAGAATCAGCTGGGTCATTTTAATTATTCTTTAAGTTGGGCCCCAGCTTGACTATTAGAAGGGGAATCTCTGGGAGGGGGCACAAAGGATGTACTTGCAAAATGTATCAGCAATGAAGTGTGAAGCCAAGGATGAGTCCCAGTCAGTGAAGGCAAGACCAGCACACCTCCCAACCTGTGGCTCTGCTGTCACCTGGGGCTGTGCTGTCAACTGTATCTACCCAGTGGAAGGGGCAGGAGCAGACAGAAATGTGCACTGCAGGCATTATGGGTCAAGGTTGGGAGTGAGGGTGTGGCTGGAATGTTGAATGTGGGGTTATAGAAGACTGCCATGAGAAGGTGATATAAGAACAAACAGCTGAGGAAGTTAGGATATTTCCTAGATGCATGTGAGGGACAAGAGAGTTCCAGGCAGTGGGACCAGCAACGTGAACAACCAGGTCAGCAGAGATTCTGGCCCCCGGAAAATCCTTGTGTGGCTGTAGCAGAGTAAGTGAGCAAGGAGACAAGATGAGTTCAGAGAGACCCTGGGGAAGCAGACAGGAAGGGTCAGAGGTTTCAACTATTTTTCCCCATATCCCAAAATTATGTATTACCTCACCTATTTTAAGATAACATCTATTTCATTTTATCATAACTCAAAACACAAATAATGTACTGTGTTGTGCACTTTTAAAACAGGCCAAGATGCTCACCTGAGCCTCAGGTCTGACCAGCCCTTAACCGAGACCTGGCGGAGTTCAAGGGGAACGCAGGAGGTCAGGGATCATTTTTGTACATTTTCAGGTGAAGATACCTTCTAGAGGCCCCAGGAGAGATGCTGAGCAGCCACGTGGAAACACGAGGCTGGAGTTTAGAGGAGCAGTTTAGACGTCAAGGTGTTCAAAGCTGTGACATGAGATGAGAGGAAAAGGCCATGAGTGTAGACAGACAGAAGAGGTTCAAGGACTGCTCCCTGCGGCTCTAACTGAGAAGCGAAAAATAAAACCAAATACAGAGAGGTAGACATTTAAAGAATACTGTGATGTCCTAAAAGTCAAGAAGAAAGTGTTTCCAGAAAGAGGGAGTGATCAGCTGTGCAACATGCTGTTGATCGAATGAGGGTGCAGCTTCGGTAACAGGCTCTGAACAAGTTTCTTCAGTGATGAAAGTCATTTATGAAAAACCCACAGCTAACATCATACTCAATGAAGAAAGACTGAAAACTTTCCCAGTAAGATCAGGAACAAGACAAGGATGCCGACTCTCAAGACTGCTATATTTAACAATGCACCGGAAGTCCTAGATAGAGCAATTAGGGTAGAAATAAATAAATAAAAGGCATCCAAATCGGGAAGGAGAAAGTAAAACTATCCCTTTTCGCAGATGACTTGATCTGTACTCCTGTAAAGGGAAGAGAGTGAAGCAAAATTAACTGAGACAAGTCGCAGTTTTTCTCTATATGGAAGACGCGAGGACGGGGTCTCAGGAGAGAGGTGGGGTCTCAGAGTCCCAGGGCCAAGAGAGGACGGGCGGCCCGCGCTGCCCTCCAGGGGCGACACTGAGAGGGGAGGGGCGGGATGTCGCCAGAGACTCTTCCGGTGAGGACTTGACCCAGCGCAGGGTGGGTGGGGGTCAGAGAAGGGTTTCAAGCAGAAAAAAAAGACGCGACAGGCGGCGTCTGCGCAGCCCGAGGGCAGAACGGCTGGGGCTGGACCCGCCTGGCCACGATTTTATACCGAAACTGACGCGGCGGAGCGACCAGGGCTCGGAACGTCTCACGGCCGCGCCGGGATCCCTGGGGGTGGGAAGAGCGAGTGCGGGGGCTTTAACGTCTGGAGCGACCTCCGGGCAGGGTGTGGAGGACGGGGACCGAAAAGCACGGATGTAAACCAGAAAGTCGGAAGCTCACCTCACTGTGACTCCACACAACCCACTTCGGCGTCCACCGTAAACTGCGCAGGCGCTCGACTAGAACAGACGCGAAGTCATTGGGCGGGGCCCAGGCGGGGCCCAGTGG